TTAAAATCACATAATTTTCTGTTTTAATTTTCTAACTTTATTATACTTATTATATACGCTATTATTTTACTACATTTAATATTTATTTCAACTCCACCAAATTATTAAAAAATTCCAGTATTAAAATATCGTAACATCAGTGTTTAAGGCGATCAATTTAAAGATGCATTTTACTTCGCGTAAAATTTTGGAGGTGAATAGACAATTGCAATACGAGGAAATTAAATATTAACATTGAATACTTGAAGAATTATTGTGTCGAAAAATTGCAGTAAAAAGATGATGCATGGACCGCTTTGAAGAATACCCCCCCCCNTCAAAAGAAAAAAAAACTACAGAGTAGAAATTGAACGTTCTAAAAAGTCAATTTTCGTTGGTAAAATTGACGCAATGTCCCTTTTTTTTTCGAACTTCTAAATTGTTTGAAAATTTTTAACTTTTTCAAAGCTTTTTTTTAAATTTTTTTTTCTTCCACTTTTGCTTTAAATATTATAAACAACAATCTATAGCTGTCGGAAAATTTGCTTACCTTTCGAAATTTTTAGTGCACAATCTCGCATTTGAGACGACTTTGAAAGCAACAAAAAAGAGAGTAACCCTGCTGTCTTTCTTTCTCATACACATATCTTAATAAACATTTATTTTAAAATGCATAACAACATAAAAAACTTATATCAAGAAGAGTAAAAACAATTTCCCATATATTCTGTAATGATATCATGTTTCGTGTTCGAGTAGGAAAATTAGATACATATGAAATACAGTCAAACCCCGCTATAGTGAACACGGTTTATAGTGAACTCCCGGATATAGTGAACGAAATGTTCGATCCCGTGCATTGCTATACACTCATAATGTTATTTTTTGTGGATAAAGTGAACTAAAAAAGTGAGGAAGTTGGATATNACCCTGCTGTCTTTCTTTCTCATACACATATCTTAATAAATATTTATTTTAAAATGTATAACAACATAAAAAACTTATATCAAGAAGAGTAAAAACAATTTCCCATATATTCTGTAATGATATCATGTTTCGTGTTCGAGTAGGAAAATTAGATACATATAAAATACAGTCAAACCCCGCTATAGTGAACACGGTTTATAGTGAACTCCCGGATATAGTGAACAAAATGTTCGATCCCGTGCCTTGCTATACACGCATATTGTTATTCTTTGTGGATATTGTGAAATAAAAAATTGAGGTAGAGTGATATTATGAACTTTTTCTGTCTTCGACTGATTTTTTTTTAATAATTTTGAAATATGTACTTCGAATTAAATATTTATACTGATTTTTAAATCCATCCATAGAGTGAAATGTAGCGATAAGTATTTTTTCTTGTTTGCTTCTTTTATCTCACTTTTCCATCCCTAAACAAAGGCCAACCCAGGCAGATATATGGACAAATTTTTCCCTGCATCACCTAAAAATTTCGGATTTTTTTTTTTACACCAGACGAAGATTAATAAAAAATAAAAGCGAGTTAACACATTTTTTGTTACTACGTATTATTTTTCAGTCATTTTTGTATTTCATTTTTTTGGTCATTAATTTAAATAATGTATAAGAAAAAGAAGGAGATCGGAACCATTAATTAAAATTGTTTGCGCAACGGATATAGTGCACTCCCGGTTATAGTGAACCGAAATTTCGATCCCTTGAAGGTTCACTATAGTGGGGTTCGACGTATATATATATATGTAGATATATATATATAAATTTGCGAGCATATTTAAAAGATATTTCTAATAATGGGTGAAATAGTTTGAAATTCAGACTTCATGAATTGTGTGTAGGCTGTGTTTACGTTCTTAAATTAGAAATCATATTTTTGTTTTACTAAATCAGCTATCGAAGTAATTTAAATTTGATTTTCCTCCGATATTAATTTCATTTTTAAAATGTGTACATGCTCTTTTTTGGATATGTTTGTTTTTTCTTCTTACTTTAAATTTTGGTTTGCAGCTAGCATTGTGATATACACTTAACAGCCACATTTATAAGAATCGTACAGAGTGTTTTAATACAATGCTTTCGAACTTCCAAGGGGAGGCAGCATCGACTGGTCTTAATGCCAGAAATGTGATCGTACGTCACTAGAACGACTTATCTATTATAAAATTCCAATAGTTGAATTATCATACAATCAGTCCTTTTTTATTTATAAAATACACTTTAAACAGTATATAGACTTACAAATAGTTTTTTTTTTTTTATTTATAAAAAGTCAAGAAAATGAGAATTAATAATAATAGTTGTTAGTTGTATACAGAGTAAAAAAAATATGTTCAAAACTAACAGACTATGATTAAGTTACCGTTTTTCTGGCTCTATGGGAACTCCAAAAATCTCGGTAATTTTTACTGATGCGTTTAGTTATAATTTTGGTAAAATTAACAATAAAATAATGTTCCATAGCATAAGATCAAATTTAGTAAATGCGGTAATTTCATCATGGTACCTTGGAGCATAGCCATTTAGTCGGTAAAATGTATTTTTTTATTCATTTTTTTTTTTACTAAATGTGTGACATTAAAAACTAAACTAATATTAAAACCAGAATTCTTACTAAGCCGTTGTCACATAAACTGAAAAAATGCTAAATGAATGCTTTAAATACCATATATTTAGATTTTTATTATCAGAATTACGATTTGCTTTACTAGAAAAGTAATTACACTACAATAAGGTAATTTCACCAGAAATATTTTCTCCCCGTACTGACATAAATTCCTGAAATGAAATACTTTGTCAGTTCACGATTCTTCACTGTCAAATTACAGTATAATATTAACAAACACAAATTTAATGTTACTGAAATAATTGCAGATTATAGGCGAGCTCGAGCTGTGTTAAATTCGATTATTAAATATTGTTATCGAACCCGTTACATACAATAAATTACTCTTATATCAGTTTATGATTTTATTTTTACATATCTCGAAAACTTTCACCAATTTTGATTAACTAACAATATGCATGATGCGTGTTTCTCTCTCTTGTTTGCAATTAAGTTGAAGGTTTATTAGTATCTCTCAATATGTACTTTTAAATTGGAATGGTAGTAGTAAACTGTAAAAAGAAATTATACATTTTAACGTCCCGCTTTTTTTTTTCTCTTTTACCGTCTCGAATGCGTCAATATTTTTAAGTTCATTATTTAATTTTAAGTAAAAAAGAATAAAAAATGCTTATGAAACGAAATTTTAATGTCAATAGAAAAAAAATCAAGTTTTTATGAATAATTTAGAATAGATTTTTAAGTTTAAAACTTCACATAAACTTTTCTACGGGTATGAAGGAGTATTAATAAATTATGAACTATAAATTATTTGATTACCCAAGGCAAACTGCAGTTTTGGAGCAACCTTTATGTAATTGAAATAAGCTCAGTCGAGTTGTTACAAATAAGGCTCCTATACTCCAATTCAGGGGCTCTAGTAACAAATGGTGAATTACGTATCCCAGCTGTATTATAAGTTCCAGGATCGATATTGAGTCAGCGAGTTTGTTGCTGAGGAGATTGTGTGTGACACGGATTCCACATGCTATTTGACATCCACAAATCAACGTGTATATTTTTATATGCAACTACTTATTTCTTGCTCTAGTTAATATGATTTCACTCTGAACTTATTTACTGGGATGAATTACACTGGACGTGGGATGAAATGCAATGGAAGTAATATCGCAAAAAAAATCTTTTTCGTATATACATAACACATGAGATAATAGCAACCGCCACCACCATATCGACCAAATATTGTGCCTTCGAATTTGTTTATTTAATAATAATAATACGAAGAAGAAAAAAATTATACATTTAAAAAAAATATAAACTCGTTCTGGGTTTTACAGATCAATGAATGACTTTTGAATTCAATCTGGAAAATCGTTAAACTGCGCTACCCTAAAGTGCTCGACTTCGCGCGCAGATCGTTGGGCTACTGAAGCGGGGGTGCTATCCTCTCTGCAGAGGATCAAAATTCGCGATCGCAACACTCGAATACGCCATCTGGGGAGAGACCGGTTTCATGCCTTTAGCCCTTCTCCCTTCCCTCTCCTTCTCTTTTCGGTTGTATAGGAATGTACTACGATAATTTCCCTTTTCTTAATATTTTTCCTTTTTATTTCATAAAAATATTTTTTTAAATTTCTATGATACTTTTCTTCAGAACTATGTTTAATGTAGTTTTCAGTTCCATATAGTTTTTCAAGTTAAAAGATTTTAATCTATGTGAAAATCAAGAGAGAAACTAACGCACTTCCTTCCTCTATGACTTTCCACACGCTAATGGGGAAAGCATGTGAAGTGTTGCCATAGGAAAAGAGTTCTGCTCTACGCCACCTGCAGCCCATCATTTCGATCGCCAATTGTGATGGCATGTCTTCGGATCATCCTCAGGGATGTTTCCCAGACCGTCGCCAATAGCCCATTGTGCAGCTCTAGTGCGACGTAAATGAACTACAACAACAACAACAATCTGGATAAGTTCAGATAACGCCTTGCCAGTAATCGAACTGAAGTAAACATCACCAAAGCACCCCTCTTTATGTAATTAATTTTAAAAAAATGTAAACTGTCATCAAATTGCTTATAATAATATAAAATCCACATTATTTTTCACTATTTTATGATTGTTTGGATCATTTTCATTCATGCGTAATTGGGTATAATATAGCCCACGTCACAGGTTGTGTTGTTCCTACTAAATTTAACCCATGAACGGCATTTTCTGCGAGCCTAACTTCAAGCCACAAATAAACAAACGAAGTGTTCGATCGTTTAAATAGCTGCTCGCCAGATTTTATTGCATTATAAAGAAAAGTTATTGAAAATAAATACAGCTAAATAAACAACAACAACTAAAACAAATAACAACAACTACTAATAACAATAACTAAATAAACAACAACTAAATTCCATTCGTTTAGCATTGCGTCATATGTTGCTCCTACTAAATCGAAGTAGTTGTGTTTTTTTCATATTATACCCAATTGGATCCTTACTCTCTTCGCCATCTTGACCTAAATCCTTTACTATTTATTAACTCCAACTTCAACTTCTATAAAGTATCAACAAACAACAAGACATAATGAAACTTTCTCCATCCTGGTTGATTTTAATGTGAAACTTAATCAATTTCTTCAAGCAATTTTTTTAATTATGATTCTAAGCCTATTCACATCTTCATCCATTTGATCGCTGGTACTATGGTATCTAATATACCTATCGCTGGTACATTCTCTATTGATACAAATGAAGATTCCAAAGATCGCATATTATTTACTCTTCAGGTAGCTGTAAAACAGGTAAGTTCCCCTATTTCGTGCTTCGGAGTGAAGTACAATATTAATACAAGACATTTATTCATGCAATTGCTTATACTATTAGATTTATTGTTTGAATATCGTGTAGATGTTTGAATTTTCTACTGCGCAATCGGAGTTTTTGAGTCAAAATAATTAGCTTGTTTCGAACAAAGTTAATTGAAATCTTGCAATCTAAATTCATAAAGATAATCACTAAATAAATAATGATATTGCATTGAAATTTACTCAATTTAATTGTGATTGTTTAATTTGTAATTAATTGTTAGTAACTATATCGAAAAAAAAATCTAAAGAGGAAATATTGTTATAAGAGGTAGTTTTAGGGGAAGAGTTGTTTCGAAAGTTAGGAAGATTAAAAATTTCCGTATCATTATCTGTAATAGCCGGTCAAAAAAAAAGAGAAAAAAATCACAGATGGGGACAAACTACATGTTTTTTCTTATTAAAGTTTGCAAGTTAGAATTCCTTTTACTTGGTCTGGCTATTGTAGTTGTCGCAACAGATTACCAATAAGAAAATACCTCCTTCAAATTTTATAAGTACGAACGAAACAACAACTTTTAAGGGATATTTCCCTATCGTAATATGTTGTGCCAATTACAATTGCCAAAACACCAAATAGATTTTATAGACTTGAAAATTGAAAAACAAAAAACATGCATAGATGTTTTCTTATTGTGGCTACGAGTTATACGTTGGTGTTCTTGTTTGTGATGTTTTTTTTTTTTCTTTCATGGATTCATGAACCATTGCCCAGAAGAGCTAAGATTTGGTGATTATTCTACTGCAAATCATGATACGGAAATCTTTCCTATTTAAATTTTATACTTGTAATTATATTTTATTCAATAAGAAAAAATTGAGAAAATAAACGTATCAGAATTCATAATATAGCTTTGTATGCTAAAGTCTTACAAGAATTATTCCATTTTTCACTGTTTCATAGTCCTTAATCATTTGAATATGATGTTATAATTGAATGCACAGTCTCAATTATAGCTTCAAATTCAAATGTCTCAATTATAGCATCAAATTCAAATATAAAAGCTTTTAAGGTATAGGTTGCATACAAATGTTTTGTGTTATGATTTAGATTTACAATTTCTGTCTAATAATTTTATGCTTTAAAATTATTAATTCTTTACAGATACAGCATTGTTATAGTTTACAAAGTGAAGGTAATGATCTTACAGTTGAGGTTAGAGAAGTTAAGCAGCTTTGTGAAAGTATTGACAAAGCACTTTTTCATGGGTAATAATTTCTTTACAATTTATATTATGTAATTAATCTTTAATGGAGAGTGTGGTACCTTGGAATTTGAGCAATTTGTAAGAACCTAATGGCAACAGTAGCATTTTTTACAGTATTGATTAGTAATTTTTTAATTAAATAACCAAAATTAACTTTAACTGTGATAAAGTAATTTAAAAAGAAGAGTTTTTTTTTTCTTTCCCTAATGTAAATACTAAATAGAGGTTCATTTCTGAAGAGATCGTTAAACATTTAGTTATTCAGTTTTGATTTTTCAGTTTAGTTTAGTTAATTAATTAGTTTAGTTCTTCGGTTTTAATTCTTCAACTTAATTCGATCACTATCTCTTCCAATTAAGAAGTATATTTCTTCTTGCATTATGAATATTATACGTGCTTAACTATAATTTGTATAAAGCTGTACCAATTAAGTGACTGAAAATCATTTAGAAATAATTTAGATTGGAAATGTTTTTAATTTATCATAAGTGAAATATTTGTTGTATGTTTTCATTCTCTAATGAATGAGACTTCTTTTACAAATGTGTACATTTCCCAGTTACAGTAACCATTAATATTGACTAAATACTATTTTATAGTAGATTTAGGGAGAAGAGATTGAATGTTTTATTGATCATTGTTACCTGATTTTGTTTTTTTTCTGCATTCTGCATTTTTATTTTATTATTAGGAAATATATTTTAATCTACTTAATATTGACTGAAATGAAATTTAAAGAAAAATGAACACATTAGCTGGAAGTTATCTAAGGACACCTTTATAAGTTCATTGACTTTTTTTGATTGAGGCTACAATCTCTATAATTAAGTTGGAAACTTTTGTGGCAGCCCTTATATTCTTTGTGCTTGATAAAAATTATTATAACAATAAAGAAAGAAAGCTATGTGGATAAACTTATCTCATAAGTTCTTAAACAAAATGTGTATCACTCCCTGTGGCAGAATTTTTTTTTGTTTTTTTTTTGAGCTATCTGCCACAAAAATCTCTATCACTATTGTCTTTCTGGAAGATACTTTTAATAATAACAAACATATATGTTACTAATTTAAAATAACAAAAGCATTATGTTTACAAAAAAAATTATATATATATTTTTTTAATAAAGCGTGTAATAATTTTTTATTCTAATATTATGGGTGATATTTTTGCATTTTGTTGGTGGGTGGAAACACACAAATTTATTCTTTCTTCGCATTTTGTAAATAAACATCACAAAAAAGAAAATCATAACATTCTAAGTAGTAATTGCCGGAAAAAAAACCTGACGAAACCACTCAAATCGAACTTCTTAAATGCGCTTTTCATTTGTTTTAGTAAATAATATCCTATAAAAAAATATCAGATAAAAAAACTATGAAGAAATCAATAGCAATAACTGCCAAAAATTCAATAAAATTATTGCCTTACGTACATACTCAAATGCATGATCCAAATTTTTTATATTGTTTGAAATATATTGGGATATTTTAAATCCATGTGGAAATCAATATCAATTAACTGCTGAAAATACAATCGCAACATTACATTGATTTACGATACTATAGATCAGGGGTGGCCAAGTCGAGCCATTTTTCAAAATTTAAAATTTTTCGTGAGCCGCAATTAAATACAAATTTCAAAGGTATACAAAAGAGGTATCAATTTTTTTTTTACTTAAATTATATTTATTGAAAACATATAAGTAAAAGTACAAAATATGTGCATTGAATTCAAAATTAAACACATTTATTTTACTTCTCTTGATAATTCTTTAAAATTTAGTGAATAATTGGTGACAGCACTTCTCAGCAATTCTTTGAGATGCTTGTTAGTTAATACTGATCGGTGTTTGGATCTTACCAATTTTAAAGTGGAATAAAATTATTCACTTGAGTACGTTGCTCCGAATATTGAAATCATTCGACAAGCAGCCCTTTTTAATACAGGATACTTCGAATCTGGTACAAATTTCCAAACGTCAGTACGTAATCGACGTCGACTTATATTTTAATTGTAGAGCTTGATCTTCTTGCACCTCAATTAGTTCTAATTCTCCCAATGATTTTTGTGTCATAATTATATTGGAAATGGAGAACTCACCTTAAATTAAACAACGTTGCACTTAGTCTTTCATATCAGTTCTCGGTAATTTAAAAAACATTTTGAAACACATACGGAACGATAATTTTTTTTAAATATAATAGCACAAAAAGGAAAAGAGAATTCTGGTACATTTATCGAGAGCCACAAATAATCATTCAAAGATCCGCATGTGGTTCAGGAGCCGCAGGTTGGCCTCCCTGCTATAGATTTAAATTGAGCCAGTCAAAAAGTGATTATCTAAATGCAGGATTCAAATATTACGTGTAAAATGCTGTAGAAAAGAAATTTAATTTTTTTTAAAAATCGTTTAATCGTTCTACANGGTTATAATCAGGGTTTGTTGATTTAAATCATGATTTAAATCGTGATTTAAATCAAGCTGATTTAAATCAACAAACCCTGCTACATAGTCGAGCCATTTTTCAAAATTTAAAATTTTCGTGAGCCACAATTAAATATATATTTCAAAGGTATACAAAAAAGGTATAAAAAATTTTTTTTTACATAAATTATATTTATTGAAAACATATAAGTAAAAGTACAAAATATGTGCATTGAATTTGAAATTAAATGCATTTATTTTACTTCTCTTGATAATTCTTTAAAATTTAGTGAATAATTGGTGACAGCACTTCTCAGCAATTCTTTGAGATGCTTGTTGGTTGATACTGATCGGTGTTTGGATTTTACTAATTTTAAAGTGGAATAAAATTATTCACTCGAGTATGTTGCTCCGAATATTCAAATCATTCGACAAGCACCCCTTTTTAATACAGGATACTTCAAATCTGGTACAAATTTCCAAAAGTCAGTAATCGACGTCGACATATATTTTAATTGTAGAGCTTGATCTTCTTGCACCTCAATTAGTTCTAATTCTCCCAATGATTTTTGTGTCATAATTATATTGGAAATGGAGAACTCACCTTAAATTAAACAACGTTGCACTTAGTCTTTCATATCAGTTCTCGGTAATTTAAAAAACATTTTGAAACACATACGGAACGATAATTTTTTTTAAATATAATAGCACAAAAAGGAAAAGAGAATTCTGGTACATTTATCGAGAGCCACAAATAATCATTCAAAGATCCGCATGTGGTTCAGGAGCCGCAGGTTGGCCTCCCTGCTATAGATTTAAATTGAGCCAGTCAAAAAGTGATTATCTAAATGCAGGATTCAAATATTACGTGTAAAATGCTGTAGAAAAGAAATTTAATTTTTTTTAAAAATCGTTTAATCGTTCTACAAGAACTGTGTAACGTTCTACGATATTGTTGCCATGTTGTTGCGATTCTGCCGCAGGGTATAACTAATACTGAAATATTAAAAATAGATGAAATATAAGCTTGTTATGAACTAAAATATAAACTGGGCACAGAAAATAATGAAATGGAAAAATAACAATTAAAGAAACTTGTTTTAACATGCCCCTATACCAAAATGGTAGTCTCATGCTCTGGCATTCCCAACTAAAAACAATTTTCTTTCATTTTGTTAAAAGTTTGTGTTCATTTAATTTAACGATAAGTTGCATTTCTTTTAGCTTAAAATGTTATGACAAAGGATACTGGTGTTTTGTGAAGGAGTTTACTCACAGTTGTACCAGTGACTTTCTGAAAAAGCTAAAAAACGCACAGACTGATGTACAACGTGGTCGAGCATGGCTGAGTTTAGCGCTGAAAGAAGCAACTTTGGAAAGCTATTTTCGCTCCTTCTCACAAAATGGAAAACTATTAAAAAAACACTATAAATCTCTTGCCTTGTTATGTGATGAACAGGTATGTTTACTTAATGCGAAAGCAGCACAAATAGTTTCATATAAACTGACATACTATACTTTTTAACATATTGAAGAATTTTCCTCAGTGTTTATTGTCACTGCATTACATAACCGAAACTGTGTAGTATGTCTGTTTACACAGAAATATTTTATATAAGCTCTTTTAACATAGATAGCTTAATTCATATGTAGCACAAAGTTAACAATTTCTTCACTATGTATATTTACAGTTCAATAATCATACTAATTTTTAAGAAAAAGTTTCTTCCTTAAAGGCATTACAGGCCAAAGCCTATTCCAACTACAGTTTTTGCCATCTGATCCTATCTGTGAAAAGGCTCTTCCAGTTTCCCTTATTTGTTAGCTCTTTTCCAGCAAGTAAAGTCACCTAATTGGTGGTTTTTATTGATTCCTGTTTCCCATGGGTTTAGTAAAAGAGAGCTTTTTTACTGGGTTTGTCCTTTGTATTATCAGATCAAAATAATCCAAGCCATCGTAGCCTTTTATGATTTTGTTTGTACTTTTGGTAAATTTCAAAGTTATACTAAGATTTCCAGCTATTATTCTCTTGGACTGCTCCAAATATTTTTCTTAAAATTTTCCGCTCTAAGGTCAATAATTTTTTTTATATAATATATAATTTTTGTTTTTATAAAATAAATCGAGATTTTTGTGGTCCATAGCATTTATTTGACATAAAGAGTCTGTTTATCTCAATGGTCAAATCATTGTTTGTAGTGATCTGGCTACAAGATATTTGAACTGAGAAAACTCATTGAAAGGTGTAATTTTGCACTGTAAATGACTATGGATTAGGTAAAATTGAAAGTCCCCATGAATTTCGTTTTATCTTCAAAACGAAAAAGTTAAGTGATTCATAATATTATATACTAGCTTTTTCTGATAACCCATTAAACCATCTGTTGAAATATCATTCAATAGAAAACCATTCCTGTTTTTCACAATACTATATCAAATCTTGCTACAGTGGCTGGAAAATTTTAAATCCCCTTCTGTTAGCTAAAATAGTTTTCATGTTGACAATATGTTTTCCTTGTTTTTATCTGACAGAATATTCTCAGTAGATACAAATATGTCACATTCTCTAGAGAAGAATAAGCATAAGAACTGTCTGTGTATGTAGTTAACATACTATTTTGGTTTTTTTTTAGCTGTCTAATATAGTGAGACATCTTCAACTTATAGCCTTCCTCTCACCCTAATTAATAATTATTAATGGTTAATAAATATACTATTTTGTCCTCTTTATCATTTTCTCATTATTTTTAATTTTTAATAGATTTAAAGTCATTCAAATAATTTATAATAAATTTATAAATTGAATAATTAAAATTTTTTGTTGTAATAATAATTTCTAATGAAAACCTTAAGACCATAAATAAAGATGGCACATGTTGCTATCCAGTGAAATATAAACTTCTAAGTGTTAAAGAACGTAAATGGGCTGATGGAAATTATACTTTAAAGTTAGATTTAACTTCTTTGTTAAATAAATTATCAATGTCTTTGAACACTAAGCATATTATTTTAATAATTTGTAGCCATAATTTGGCTCACTAGGAGCGCTTTTTTATGATAAAAAATAATATGCTTTCTTCAAGAAAGTTGGGGATTATGTATATATTAAGATTAAAAGCTTTCTTCAAATATTAATAATAAATTAGAAAATTTGTTATCTAAATTAAAAGAATTGTATAATATTTTAATACCCAGATACAATTTCCATTTTAAGTTAACATATTAGAAATTGTGCATAGTTCCATTACTATGTAGGTATTTTAAACATGCTATGGTTTGATTATTTATAAATTGTAAGCTTATTTTATACTTTCTTTAATAACTCAAATAGAAATATTTTTCTAGTATCTGCGTTAAAAATTAGGTTTAGTAAGGACGTTATTTAGCAGTAGCTACTTCTTACACTGAAAGGATCTCTTCATAAAAAGTATAACAACATAGTTTAAATCTGCTGAACTGTTCCTAAAATGTATATGTGTTGCTGCTTAAAAATTCCAAACTATATCACTGTAAATTATACAATCAATCTAATTTATGAAATAAAGCATATTAAAGAACCATTAACATTATTCTACACATATAAAAGTCCTTGCTGCAATTTTCTAATTATCAGCAATTTTTCTTTTCTATTTCATGGGCTTAAAGATATAATCATTATATCTCCCTCTCTCCATCTGCAATAATTTAGAAAAAGCGGTTTATAAAAAATAAAAAAAATTTTTTTTAATATAAACTTGTTAGTAAACATCCTTTAAATCTGAAAATATTTTTTTTGATATTTTTTGTTCATTATTGTACATAGCTTTATGTAAAATCAAATTACTTAGCATAGATATAGTGTCATCATTTTCTTTTTTACCCTTCCACACTATTTTAGAGAATGCAGCTAATATTGATGTTAATGGCAGGATTGGAGTATGTTCCTATCGACTTAGATGTGGTAAATATTTAATTTATCATTTATATATATATTTTTTTAATTATATAGTATACAATTTGGTTTTATTTTCCATAAAATTTAACTTTAATTTTACAGCAAAAAATAATGTTTGGAAGTGGCCTATCTTTTTTTGATGGGTTTACATCTTTAAGGTCTTATAGTTATCCAAGCTCGCAAGTAAGACTCTTTTATCTTTCAGTATTTTTGTGTTTACACAGTGTTTTCACTACAGCGCGAGA